GGGACACAGCATGGCCCCCGACGGCCTCCGAGCTCCCTGCTGACCCTGGAGGAGGAAGCCTGACCGTAGAAACACCTTTTCTCCACGTAACTGGGGGTGAGGTTCGGTTTTCACAAACCCAAAGCAAGCCCCTTGTCTGCTGCGTCTTACGTGGTCCGGGTAGCGCCTGAGCCCACCTCAGGCTTGCGTTTAATTCCACACTTTCAGGTTGAGGCCTGCCTCGTCAACTGCCTGCTGTCCGCTGGCCTGGCCTGGGCTCGGCCCGGCTCTCCCGGGCCAGGCGGCCTGAGCGTGCACCCTGGCGGCGAGGAGGGAGCCCGGGAGGCCGGGGCGTCGGCGCGGCGCCCGTGATCGAGGGAGCTAATCTAGGGAGACCGTAGACAAGTGGCCGCCCGCCGGCCGTGAGGGGGGCCTGGAAAGCCCGGCACGGGTGTTGGCCGGACGTGCGGGGTCGCCGGCTGTCCCGCAGGCATTCTCTGCCACGTGCTCCAAGCCCTGCTGGGTGGTCCCGGCATCCATGCCACGTGATGCCAGTTCCAGACGTCCTTCCCACGTCATGGTGTGCAAGGGACTGTCCACTGCACCCTGGGCCTCCGGGGCCATGTTAGTAACCCTGGGTCTCTCTGGAGGAATGTATCTGTCCTGCTGTGCCCCAACACGGTGCCCACAGGGAGGGCCACCGGCTTATTACTCCTCTCACTGTCCACGCCAGGGGGACACAGGGAGGAGGGGTGGGGAGGGTCTCATTCCCGCAGGGCTCAGCACCGCTGTGTGCGGGACTCAGAGCCTTGTCACAGACGAGGGAGGGTGGAGGTCCAGGGTCCACTCAGCCGTGCTGGTGCACGGGGACGAGGCCATGCATGTCCCTCGTGGGCCCGGCCTCACTGGGCTGGTTCCCCCATGGCCCTCTGGATGGAGAGCCGCTCCCCCCAGGGCTGCTTTCCTCTGTGCTTGTGGTGGCCTCGCCAGTGCCTGGCGTAGGTCCCAGGAGGCACAAGGGTCCTCCTCAGTCCAGGCCCAGCCAGCTGCTTCCTTCTCTCCACACTCGGCCTTCCTAGCGGTGTCCTGCGCTGGTGCAGCCCCAGCGGCCCTCACGGGTGGGGCGGGGGGAGGACAAGAGCCGGTCATGCCCAGAACCAGAGCTAAGTTCACACTTATGCTCCCAGCCCTCTGGGTGCCAGCAGTCCCACTCCGGGCTGCCCTGCAAGGGCTTGGGCAGAGTGAGTGTCAAGAACACCATCGCCTGTGGGACCCAGGAGTAAGGACAGCCAGACCTGCTGCCGTGAGCCCCAGTGAAACCCCACCAACCCCTGTCCCCCGCACTGACCGATTCCCTGTTCATCCCGGGCTGCCAGGGTCCTGCCTGGGGACAAGCTGAGGAAGGGTCGAACTGAGCTTACAACGGGTGCTGGGCCACACGGGCCACGGAGGAAGCCTCTGTACACCGCGCAGACGGGCGTCTCAGCGCCTGGCTTACACGTGGGCACAGTGGGGCATGGGAGGGGCAGGCAACGGGTGACAGCAGAGCACGGAGAGGAGACACGCGCGGCCCCGTGCTTTCCCGCAGCGTCTGCTGCGACGCTCACACCTGCCCTTCCCGGCACATGCCGCGCCTCATCCTGCCCTTTAGCCCGTGGGTCCATCGGCACTGGCCACGCGCCCCTGCCCACCTCTGTCCACGGCGGCCACAGGGCCACTTCCTTAAGCAGCGTCTCCGACAGCTGTGTGGAAAGGAAGGGAACCACACCTGCAAACACCTCTAACCACCAGGAGTAGCGAATAAACCCACAGGAGGCCCGGTGGAGGGAGCGGGCGGAGGTGTGCGAATCCAGGTGCCCTGGGATTCCAAGTCTGGGGAGGAGGCCCTGCAAGCACTTTCCTTACGTCCGCCAGTCATGAGAGATGAGAGCGGGTTGTGCACGTGCGTCTGCGCGTGTGTGCGCGTGTCTGCCTGTGTGCACGTGTACATGCATGTGTGTGCATAGCGGTGTGTGCGTGCTTGTGCACAGGTGTGTGTGACTTTGAAGGAAAGAACTTAAGTACCATTCACACCATCACCCAGAGACTGTCCTCTATTTTACCTTTTATTTTTGCCTTTTTCTGCTTGAACAGAAACTGCATTTTGTTTTTCACAAAAATTTCACAAAATTTCACAAAAAATTGCATGTGTCCTTTGGACCCCAGTGTTTCCAGGTCCATCTGCTGCCTGGCCTCCCCCGGGGAGAAATCCCGTGGGTGCTTTCCCCACCGTGGTGCATGTCTGGGAACCCCAGACACGCGGGGGTGATTGTTGCCGGGCTGTGGCCCGTGCCGTAGCTGTGCAAGCGGCTGAGGCCACCCTGAGGGGGAATCGAGGCCGGTTTGGAAGACCGTCGGTGGCTGTGGCACGCAGGACCGTAGGGGCAGTGATGGTCAGGGGATTCCCCGCTTGGGCCTGGAGTGGGCAGCCCCCGAGCCAGAGACGAACCCGCAGGTGCCCAAAGGCCCTGACAGCCACCAAGGCTGAGCATCCAGGACAGGCATGTCCCTGTGACCCAGGCCACAGCTGAGGGGAGGACCCGCACACGTGTGGGCCAACCGGAGCCCTGGGACTGAAAGACACCCACAGCAGGGACCTCCTGAGACAGTGAACAAAGTCCCAAGCACCAGAGCCCCCATGGGACTGCCAGGAGTGCTCAGAGGAGGGGGCGTCCCACGGGAGCTGCAGTGTCCACACGCCCTGGACTTCGCACAGCAGCGCCTAGAGCTATTAGAGTGTGCGCATGGTCGCCTCTAGATGGGGGAGCCAGGGGTAGGGGTGCTGCGGCAAAGCCCCATTCCCGACAGATGGAGAGACAGCTGAAGTCATGGCCACAACCCACCAGACCCGCTGGCTCAGTGCACTGACTAGCCCACCAGACCCGCCAGTCCAGTGCAGGGCCTAGCCGCTGACTGACCCGTGCCGGCTGGGATCTGTCCCAGGCCGGCGGCCCGGCAAACCACACCGGGTGACTGGAGTGTCAGGACAGCCCCCGCGGCACACCAGGGCGCAGCCTGAGGACAGTACTTGCTGTTCCCCTGAAATTCAGATGCAGCTGCTGTCCCGTGCCTCACCAAGAAGCCCGGGCAGAGGGTGCCCCACCGGCCGCTGGTGCTACAGGGGGCCTGGCTCCAGGCCTCCTCCCACAAATGCAGAGAAGTGACCCGTCGACCCTCGCCCAGATGGTGTGCTCTGTCCTGCTTTGGGGAGGGCGCAGCAGTGTGTCCCTGGGCCTGGGCTGCCAGCAGAGATATGCCGGGCACTTCCGCTCACCTGCTGGAAAGCTCTGGACGTCCCTCCAGGCCCACCCGGAACATTCTTTGCCTCTGGCGGGCCACGCGCACAGCCAGGGGACAAGGCTCTGGTCCAAGGGCATGCTCAGAGGCTCTGTGTGCATAACGTCTTCTCAAGAACTCACGTGATTTTCTACACCACCTACTGGCCTCTGCACCCCGGACAACTGTGTGCCACACGTGAGTGCTGGGGACACGGCACCTGCAGAGCCCTGCACCAGACAGGAGGGGGTCCCAGCAGAGTTGTGGGCTGCAAAATCCCTGTTCCCTAAGGGTGGGGTGAGTGACCACATGTAGACATCCGCGGGCAACTGATGCCCCAACCCTCGGGGTTGACAGCGTGAGGACGGGGACGGCCCAACACTCAGGGGGACGGCTGCTGGGAGAGGAGGCAGTCAGCCCAGCACAGGTGCTAACACAAGGAAAGACGCTGTCTTTCGGACTCCCTCACAGGTCCTCACACCAGCCCCCCAAAAGTTAAACGCCAGGGTATCCTCTGACACCCATGGGGGGAGTCTGCCCACGTGATACCCCCTGAGCCCTGCATCTCACAGCCACACCACGTGGCTCTCTGCCTGGACCAGCACGTGACATGGCCGGTGAGGTGCAGGGACTCTGAAGTTCTTCCCTAGAAGAGGAAGAGAACCTTCTGGAAGGTACCCCAGTGCCCCAAACCACAGCTCCTCCCCAGGGGTGGGCCCCCACCAAGGGAGTCCCAGCCCGATGCCAGCAAAGCCTGACCAGGAGCGAACGTGGTCTCTTAGAGGCCACTGCCACCAAAACCACGTGCTTCCCGTTCAGATGCCTAAAGGCTCTGGGGACGCCGAGGTGGAGGTGAAGCGGAAGACACGGGAGCCAATGAGGACAGTGCCCGGGGCCACAGGCAGAGGGAGGGCACGTCTGTGCTTCAGAGCACTGGGGCCCAGCTGCAGGCGTGGGGATGGAGACGGCCTGTCCCCGGCCAGCTGCCAGTCTGCCCCGACTCCGCCGGGAGGCAGAGCGGGGTGGCAAACAGGTGCGCGGGGTGGAGAGAAGATTCCCGCACACCTGTCTGCCTGGGGGCGGGCAGCTTTGGGCCCGGGTGCCATCAGCCGGAGGTGTTCTCAGGACGAAAAGAACCGGGGGCAGGCTGCTGTGGTCACTCTCAGCCCCCCAGCCCCATGCCCTCCACTCTGGGACACGGGGGCCCCAGCCTGGGCAAGGCCACCCCTCAGAGCCTGCACCATTCAGCACCTGGCCGATGCCAGGGTCACCGTCATGCGGAGGGTGACGGCCCTGGGGGGCAGGCCCCCCCCAGGCCTCTCCACTGGCGCTCAGAAGCCCATGGGCACAGTTTGCCAGCCCCTGAGCGAAGCGGAAAAGGCCTCCACTGAGGGCCGGGCTCTGGGAAGATGCAGGTGAGGCGTCAGGAAACACGGGCTGCGTGTCCCCAGCACAAGCTGCCCTCTGCCCAGCGCAGCCCCGTGGCGGGCTGGCGTGTCCACGGGTCCTTGGGTTAGGCCTGGTGGTCTAGTCCATCTGGGGACCACCGCGGTGTCTTACTGAGTGACATGGGGCAGGGAGCGGACTATTTACAGGCCAGACGTGTGTCCACACCGAGCCTCTCTCCCGACGGTGCCGCGGGTGCCTGGCGGCTCATGCAGCCGTGCTCGCCCCTGCGGGCTGCAGAGCTCCCCCTTCCTGCACATTCAGGAGACCAGACACATCCCTGACTTGGACGCCGAGGCCGCCCCCTCCGCAGTCACCCCCTTCATGTCGTCGGGCATCTGCCCGTCAGAACGCCACACGTTCAGCTCCGCAAACACGCCCGTCTCGATCATCTCCTCCTGCCAAGGGATGGGACAGCTGCCGGTCGCAAATTCCTGGAAGAACTCAGCATCAGCTTTGTCGAAGGCCACACCCCTGACGGTGGAGAAGGCGCCCACGTCCTGGATGTTCTTGGCATAGACCGTCCTGGAGTCCGGGATAAAGGGGGGTGTCAGCATCCCTGGGAGGAGAGAAAGCACACGACATACGACACTTAAGTGGGAGGGAGCAGCTGTGTGCTCAGTGAGCAGGGTCACCCTGCCCCAGGTGCCCCAGGGGCTCAGGAAAGCTCTCGGATGCCTCGCAGCCTGCTGAGCAAGACGCGAGGAACTTCGCGTCCAGGCAAGGGATGGAGGGCTCTGGCCCGTGTCCCACGCCAGCCTCCCCAGGGGTGTCATCATCTGCAGGTGGGACGCCCCGCAGCCAGCAGCCCAGGACTGCGCTCCCATCTTCTTTCCAAAGCTGGCTCCTCCCCCAACCTGCTCAGGAGCCTCAGTGCCCCAGTCGCCAGACACAGAACATCAGCTACGTGACCCTGATGGCCCCCTGCCCTTCCTTTCCGTGCGGCCCCCGGGCTAAGCACTCTGCCAGGCCCATGCAGTGGCCCTGGGGACCCTCCATCCTCTCCTGGCTCCCAGCTCCCCCCACCCCAGAAGAAGGAACTTCTCTCCTCAGGCCGTGGCAGTGAGTCCCGTGTTCACGTGGCCTCTGTAGGCTCTGGGGCGGGGCCTTGCCTGCCCACGCACCTGCCACAGCCAACAACACACTGGCCAAATGGGCAAGTGTCTTCCGGACACGCAGCTGGAAGACTCCTGCACTGTCTTGGCTTAGGGGCTCCTTAAAAGTACGGGGCATAGAAAGTCACTGCCACAGGTTTGGGCCCTCAGTTCAAAGATCAGCAGCATGTCCCCCACGCACGCCAACCAGCCTCCCCCAGCCCAAGAAACCTGTGTGCTACCACCCAGCTTGGGGCGTGGGGTGACGGGACGTGGAGATGGGGGTTACTCAGGGGCAGGAGGGTGGCCGGGGGGAGCCCAGGAGGCGCCAAGCAAGGCCCCTTGCTGGGGCCAGGCCAGCAAGGACCTGCCGGCGGACCCGCCCCGCACGGCCCCCTGGGTCCCAAGGCACACAGACACACCAGCCTCGAGCTGTCTCCAGTTAATGTCCTTGAAGAGGGGACTGGTGCGGAGCCCGTCACACGTCCCGTCTCTGAAACCCAGGCGCTTCTCGGGGTCCTTCTCCAGCAGCGCCTCGCAGAAGTCCTTGCTGGCCTGGCTGAACTTGTCGGGGTACTTGACGGCCTCGGACAGGATCCTCTGCTTGAGCTCCTTGTTCTCCACCTGCACGGCGGGACACGCCACGTCACCGGGAGCCCGCTGAGCCCACGGGGGGATGTGCCCAGCTCAGCCAGTGCACCTCCCGGGAAGACGGAGGTGACGGAGGTGATGGGACAGAGGTGACAGTGGAGGTGACGGTGGAGGTAACCAGTAACCTCCACCGTCACCTCCACCATCATCCCCACTGTCACCTCCACCTCCACCTGGTGTCTGATTCTGAGCGCTTTTCCGGAGAACCCCATTGCCAGTGACGGGGTGTCGGGCCTGCACGGTCAGCAGGGATCCCCACGAGGAGCCCCGAGGTGCCCTGTGCCCTCTGAACCCCGGGTCCAGCCTGGCTCGGGCAGGCCCCGGCTGTGGGTTCTCACCACACACAGATTCGCCTTTCCTAAAATCGCACAGCTGCGGGCTCTCGTGAGTGACTCTCGGGTGGGACACACACCCCTCCACGGGCCGGGCCGGGAGACCAGGAGCCACGGCGGCCCCTGAGCCCCGTTCGGCCGAGCCCATCGCGCTCACCACACACAGGAGACCGGGCTTCTGGTCAGGGCCCAAGCGCCCGCTCTCTGTGCTCTGGAGAGAACTGCGCTTCTCCCCACGGAAGGCGGCGGCCACCCCGCCTCCAGCGAGTCCGTGGGCCATCGGTCCGACAGCCTGGGCTCAGCTCACGTCTCTCGGTCACATACCGGTGATTCTCAGAGTATTTCGCACCGTTGTCGCTCTACTTGTCCCGGTGAGCTGGACCAGCCCCCACGAGTCGTGAGGCCCCGCAGGGCTGTGAGCGCCGGCCCTGGAGGCCCGCGGACAGCTCCTGGGACCGAGCAGCGCGGCTCACTGGGGACTCCTGCCCGTGGTGACCTGCCGAGGTGAGCGCCGGGAACCAAGAGGTTCGCCTGACTCGCAGCCTCGGCTCTGTTACGGGCCCTGAGGGGTCTGAGGCGAGCCGGCACCGTGGTTCTGGGGCCGCAGCTGGAGCACCCCTGGACCGCGGGGGCGGGCGGGGCGGGGGGAGGGCATGGGGGCCCGGGGTCGGGCACCGTGAGGCGGGGCCCGCTCTTCAGAATGGCCGGGGGGCCAGACGGAGAGCTCGCGGCCCGCCGTGGAGCACGAATGCGGTTGCCTCTGGCCCTGTCTCCCCGCCCCAGGGCTGGCTTGCGCTGGGGGAGCTGAGGGCTGCTTGTGGGCGCCGGGGCTCGGGGAAGTCCCGGCCGGGGGTCCTGACACGCTTGTCAGCGTGGGGCTCCACGAGATGAGGTCACCACGTCCCCTCTCCTGCCCGGGAAGGACATACCATGAGAGGCCCCTTGTGTTCAAGGTCCGAGCAGCGGCTCCCCCAAGGAGGGGGTCACAGGGCAGCCGCAGGACCCGTGTGCGTGCCCTCCTACCTTCTCTCCACGGGCGCGGAAGGGCCCTCTGGCTGCGATCATCTCGTACAGCGTGACGCCCAGGGCGAAGTAGTCCACGGAGAAGCCGTACTCTTCGCCCCGCAGGAGCTCAGGGGCCATGAACCCTGTGGGCAGAAGCGGGCGCAGACTCCGGCGCGGCCCGGCACTGAGCGGGCACTCGCCCGGGCAGGCGCGTCCCATACGGGGCTCCCTGCGCGCCCGCGGGCGGGCTCCTCGCCCCGACCCCTGCATGGTGGGGCTGCCCTGGGCGCCGCGCACTGGGGAGCCCTTGGCCACACTGACACTTGGAGCCCCGCAGTCGTCGCAGCCGGAAATGCCTGCGGACGCTGCTGAGTGTCTCCTCCGGGCAGCACCGCCCCGGTCCAGCCGCGGCCTCTCGTGAGCTTGAAGCCCCGCCTCCCCGTGGCACGTCCTGCAGCCGGAGCCGTGGCCCTGGCTGGCCACGTAGGCGCAAGTGTGACCCATGGCGTCGTGGTCTGGCGCTACCAGCTCCTTCCCAAAAGGGCACAGAAGGGCCGATCTAAGCCAACACAACCCAGAGAGCAACCGGACGCACGCCGTTGCCAGCTGGCACCACACGAGGGGGGCTGGGGTCACGCACGAGCCCACATCCCCAGAGCACGTCCTGGGCTTTCCCAAACCATCGTGTCGGGGAGCCAGCCAGCACGGGGGAAGGGCCCACGGTCCACTCCCCTGGGACCAGAGCTGGCAGGTGCTGTGGGCGGGGCATGGGCTGCTCCTGGGCCTGCCGGCTCCGGCGTTCCCAGGGAAGCAAAGCTAACGAGCCTGTTGATTTCTGGGGCCTCCCGACCCTCAACGGATGGTGCTCAGAGCCAAGCTCCAAGAGGGATGTGCTCAGTGCAACGGCCAGGCTGATGGGGACACAGACTTGCTCCTCCCCACAGAGGCTGCCGGTGCGAAATTCCACAGACCCTCCTGGCCCCGGCACGCTTCACCCCTTCATAGGTCCCACTTTCCGGGAACCGCACTGTTGATCAGATGGCTCAGATGTGGTGAGAAGGACACGTCTAACAGGCCACCACTTCGAGACAGAAACAGGGTCTGGGGCGACAGCCCAGCAGGCTGCAGCAAGGGGGTCAGTTTCTGTAGCAAACACCCGGGGGGAGTCCCTGCTCTGCTCCCAACCCCAGCAAGGTGACACACAGCTTTGTGTCCCCAGGAGCTACGTGGCACCTAGGACAAAGTGAGCACCAGGAAATGCCGGTCACCAGAACGGGCAGGAGAGAGACTGAGCAGGTGTGTGCGCCCAGGTCCCCTGCGTCCCCTGCTCAGAGACAGGCCGGGCCGCAGCGAACCCTGGGATGCCCGCAGGGCCCTCACACCCGCAGTCCCAGTCCTACAACCTGAGTCCAGCCTGGGAGCCGTACTCTCTGCGCTTTCTCATGATCTGAATCCCCCTAAAACACAGCAGGAGTGTTCCCACTCCCATGGTCCACTCAGAGCTGGAGCACCATAGATTCTGGAAAACTCAACTTCGGAGGGACCCTCCCTAACTGAGGCCACAGGTGGGGACAGAGCTGCCACGGCAGCAGGGACCAACCCAGAAGGGCTCAGAGCCCAGGACAGGAGAATCTGGGGACATAAAACAAGGTCCAAGTAGCCCCAAATCCTAGTGACAACAGTCCCTCCTCAAAGCCAAGTCAACCCAGGACGGGCTGGCTGGGAGCCCCACCTCCCGGAACATGGCGGCACAGGGGGACAGACCCCTAGGTGCCCACAGACGGGAGGCGGCACCCAGCTCCCGCAGTCTGGGCTGCCCGCTGCGCCCGCCCCAACGCTGGGGGGGTCTCCTCTGTTGTCTGCGGGCCCTGCTTCCCTCCCTGCCAGGGCAGAATGTGTTGTGTACGAGCACACAATGCACACACAGACAGACACACCTGTGCACACACACACACACACGCACACATCCTGGACATGGGCAGCCCCCTCCCCTGCAGAGCCAACCCCGGCCACACGGCAGTGGGGGCTGGCCACCCATCACGGCTCTCCCGGTCTATCGCACAGTGGGGGGCACGGCTGGTGAGCCGCTGTAGATGCCCTGGACTCCAACCCTGGGGCCGGGCAGGTTGGACACATGCACTCTACTGATGTCCAGGAGGCCACTGGAGGCAGAAGCCCCCTCACGGAGCGGGTGGCCCTCCAGAACCAACAGGTGGGGGACCCCCTGCAGCGGGGTCCGGGCACACCCACTGGCCACACCCAGTGAGTCCACGGTCCGCTGTGAGGGTGCATGGCCTCGCTCCCCGCCACCCGCAGAAGAGGCAGCCCCCCACCCTCTCAGGGGCTCACCTGGGGTGCCTGCGTAGCCCTTGGTCTTAGTCTGCCCGTCCTTCAGCTCCACAGCTAGCCCAAGGTCAGAAATGCGGATATTGCCTGAAAGCAAACACAGGCCGAGGTCGCCCGCGGGCCCACAGAACAAAGGCACTTGGTGTCCCTGAGCCTGTGGGAGCCAAGGGCAGCCGCCGCACACACACGCACGCCCGTGAGTGCCCACGCGCGGCACATGCCCACCCCAGGGCCCTGAGGCCTCTGCCACCCCAGCAGACTGCAGAGGGACGGAGCGGCCCCCGTCGTGCCCAAAACCACCTCCAGAATGCCCCACGTCTGCATGAATTGTGACACAAAGGTGGGGGGGGGGGTACAAGGGACATAAAGGAAGCCAGATCTGCATGTTTCCTTCTGATGAGAATCCCTTCAAAGGCAGAGAGAGTAGCCAGTCTGTCCTCCTACCGATGCAGGAGAACCTGGCACGGGCAGGCCGGAGCAGGGAGGCTGGGAGGAGGAGAGATGGGATGGGGGGAGACGGGGTGAGGGGAACCCCAAGGGGCCCCTCACCGTCATCATCCAGAAGCACATTCTCCGGCTTGAGGTCTCGGTAGACAATGCCTCTCTGGTGCAGGTGCTCCAGGCCACTGATGACCTGGGCCGTGTAGAAGACCGCGCGTGGCTCCTGGAAGCCAGGGTTCTCCTCATTCACGTTGTAGATGTGGTACCTGGGGTCAGACCACACAGGGCCCATGCTTCCCTGGCACAGTGAACGGGGCATCCACAGTGGACACGGGAAAAGAAATCTCAGGAAACAGTGAGAGCCTCAGAGCCCGTGCTGGGTGTCTGGTCATTGTGGGGTCTCAGCATCAGCCTGAAGGACCCGTGGTGGTCTGAGAGCCCCTGGTGGCTTGTCGCGCCCTCACAGGTCCCCCACCACAACTAGTAGGACAGGAGCTGAGGCAAGAGTGCACCATTCTCCCCACCGCCCCCACACTCGCCCGCACCAGCTAGCAAATGGACCCTGAAGCCGTTTCACCACTGCCAGCCAGAGGACGGGCAGAGCATGGTGGAGCCAGCCCAGGCAAGTGTCCCGCATCACCGCAACCATTAGCAGTCATTCCAGTGTCCGTGTAAGCATGCGGGCTGGCTCCCCGGGCCCGAGCACACGAGTCTGGGTTGGCTCCGGGCAGGGCTCCGGGGTGGGCCTGCTGTGCGCTATGGTGTAAGGCCGTGTACCAGGACGCTGTCCAGCACTGTGTCATGATTATATGCGCTCTGTATGTCATGATGTCCGCACTTGCTAGTCTCCTCTCTCCTCTTCCACGTGGCCTCACGTGGGTCCTTTAGCCGAGGCCTCACAATTCCCACCTGGAAAATGGGGCCAGCACACTCCACAGGCGATGCGGAGGAGCAGAGTCCGGGGTGCAGAACCGACAGCAGTGGCCCCGTATGTGTGGCTGGGATGCTCTCTCATGGGTCGTGCATGGATTAAGGTTCACTGCCCGGTGCCCCGAGAGCACCTCGTCACTCATTACCCCCGTCTCACACCAGCACACGGAGGCAAGAGCACTCCGACTGCCCAGGGTTCCCCACCGAGAGCCAGTGGTCTGACTTCCCCCAGGAGCCCCAGGCTGGGCCCTCAGACCTCAAGCCAACCCAGGAACCGGATCCACCGACAGCAAGTCATGGTTCCCGAAGCTGGCCACGTCGTGTTTCCCGCTCAGCCACTACCTCCAAGAGCAAATAGTAACGTGATGCCCCCAGCCTGTTCCCACACGTGCTTCATCCAACTGTCCACCCCATGAGCACTCTCCCGGGCCACTCGTGCTCCTGCTACCTCCACCCCTGCGCACTCATGCAACACCCAGGTCCCCAGGATTCGAGGTCCCGCGGTGGCTGGAGAGCTGCTTGCCACCTCCCCACTGGCCCGCATTTCATGTAAGACTAAGGACACACCTCCTCGAGTGTCACCAGCCCAGGGACAGAGGAGCGGGTTGGTGGGAGCCCAGGGTTTCTCCTCACCGTGTTCTGTGAGCATGTGGGCAGCCCCCCGGGCCCCAGACCCCTCTTCATGCTCAGTTGCTCGAGCCCCCCCGCAGCCCCAGGTCCCCTGTTTACCTTATGTCACCTCCGTTCATGAGAGTCATCACCAGACAGAGATCAGTTTTGGTTTCAAACGCATAGGCCAGAGAGACTATAAACCTGCTGTGAACCTTTGCTAGAATCGTCTTCTCTACCATTGCACCCTGAAAAGCAAGATGTCGAATCAGTGCCCAGGTTTAAGTGGGAAAGTGACGTCACTGAAAAAAGTAAGTCCCATATCCCAGAAAACAGAAACAGGGTCACAAAGGTCCTCAAAGCAGCTTGCATAACGCAACTGCAAACAACTTACAGACGTGCCCCCTCCCCAGAGACCAAATCAGTCGTGCAAATGTCTGTGCGTACTGAGGACTCCAGGCTTATCGGAGCCTCCGTCAAGGAGACGGGAGTCAGAGCAGCTGCCCTAACAGCACTGGGAAAGGACCCAGCGCGCCCCCTGTTCTGAGCGGCCTCCCTGCCGTCCTTCCCTACACCCGACCGGCTCACCCACGGCAACCCCAGACCCGTTCTCCTCTCCCGATCCCTGGACAGCGGACAGCCGGGACCCACTGGCATCTGTTCATTTTCTGTCCACTTACCACGTTTTTTAAAGTTGTGTTTGGGTGAGGAAGGTAGAGCTCAAAAGGAGGAACTCTTTTGTTCCGGAAGGCCCCCCACATCCACACTGCCTGAGTACTAAGTTCAGTGAGGACGCTGGCCTCAGGACAGAGGACTCCGTGGGTTAGGACAACACGTCACCTTGCCTGCTTGTCCCCACAGCCCCAAGGGGACAGCATTATTGAGAAACCCTGGGGTGGGTACCCTTGGTGGCTGCTGTTTACCCCAAAAGCTGCATTTGTGCTTGTAGCGGGAAAGAACAGGAACCACGCGGGATGGGAGAGGAGGTCCTATGACATGGCGGCTTTGCTACCCTCCCTAAAGGGCGTCTCACCCTTCTTGGGGAGAGCAGACCCCACGCAGCGACCTGTCGTGCCTTGGTTCACCCTGGCCCGGAGAAGACATGCGGAGGCTGTCAGGCTGGCTAGACTCTCAGCGAGGCCCCACCACAGCACTAGCCAGCACCGAGAGCCCTGAAAGCTGGAGTGGAGAACCAACAGCTCCCCCAACACCTGCTCCCCTATTTCATGGTAGTAATGGAGACACGGGAAGCCTGGTGGGAGGAGCTCCTGGGGGGCTCCATGTGCTGAGCGTCCGAGGCTTGGTTTTGGCTCAGGGCACGATCCCAGGATGCTCGGATCAAGTCCCACATCGGGCTCCCTGCTCGGCAAGGAGCCTGCTTCCCCCTCTGCCCTTTGCCCCCACTCATGCGCTCTCCCTCTGTCCCTCTCTCAGATAAAGTCTTTCAAAATAAATAAGTAAATAAAATCAATCTCGAAAAAAAGAAGACAGCTGACAGGATGAGCAGAACCACCCACCCCATCGAACGCAGAGGCTGCCTCCAAGAGGGGTCACGGCAAACCCCACGTTGGGGCAGAGCCGGGCCGGGGGCAGCAGAGCTACGGACGGGCCCCTCTGTGCCCCATGGGCCAGACCATCGGCTCAGGACTTGGAGGCTGCCCAACGGGAGGGACCCGGCGTCCGCAGGGCAGAGGAGGCAGTGCACGAAGGGAGCCGTGCCGGGCGGGACGCGGCCCCCAAGGGCCCTCCCACGCCCGTGAGCAGCCAGCGGCCCACCTGGTAGCCTTTCCTTTTCTTGAGTCTCTTCTTGTTGAGCTTCTTACAGGCGTACAGCTTGCCTGTGGCCTTCATCTGGCAGGCGGACACCTCCCCGAAGCCCCCTTTCCCCAGGACCCTGAAGTCCAGGAACCAGTCCTCGCCCATGGGCTGGGCCTCCAGCCACTTCCACTGCAGGAACCTCTGGAAGTAGAGGCTGTCCAGGTACTCCTGGAAGGGTGTCTGGCTCAGGTGCGCCAGGGTGGCCTGCAGCAGCAGCTGGAAGGGCGCGTCCCCGCTCGCCACGGGCCCCTCCCGGGCCTTTGCCACCGCGCCCTCGTCCAGGAAGCTGCAGAAGAGCTTGGCCTGGGGGTCCAGGTACTCGGCCAGGATGGCCCGGGCCTTCTGAGGCCGGAGGTCGTCATCCGCCGTGTCATAGTCCTCGATGTCCTTCCAGAGCTCCAGAGCCGGCAAGTGCCGCTCGTCAGCCCCCAGGAACTGCTGGAACAGCCGCTTGCCGATGGGCTGCTCTGCGCACACGCTCGGGAACGCCAGGTCCAGGCTCTCCCGGAGGCCCTCGCACTTGGACAGTGGGGGAAGCTTCAGCTGGGCCAGGTACTTCCTGTCCCGAGAGGACGGGCCACTGTTCCCGTCGAAGCTGCCGCGTGCGGCGATGAAGGCCGAGTTGGCCACCACCGTCTCCAGGGAACCGAAATCCATCCCGGCGCTGGCCGCCTGCTGCGTCAGACACGAGAGGCCGGACCCGCCACCCCAGGCCCGTGGCCCCTGCCCTGCCTAGGCAGCGGGCGTCCCAGCAGGTGCGAGGGTGACTAGCGGCCGTGCGGGAGCCCAGGAGCCCAGCTGACACGGCTCTGGCCAAATCCCCGCCCAGGGTCACAGAGCAGGTGCCAGAAAAAGAAACCCCCTAAGCTGCTTCCAGGATTATGCGGCCCCTCCCCCCCGCCACTTCCTCCTTGGAGCCCGCCAGGAAGGACAAAGAGCAGCCCCTGAAGCATCTGCTGAAGCTGCCCCGTGGCCCCCAGTCCCGGCAGGGGCTTCTTCCCTTCCGGGAGCGGGAGGTCAGACAGAAGGCACAGGGGCCCCGAGGAACCCCAGATGGCTGGGGGCTTTCCCACTATATTTCATTTTTGTCTTAAAAATAGCAAGTGGGAGGGAAAACAGCTGGGAACAGGAATTCAGAGAAAAAAATTGCAGGGAATCGCTTCCTGGGGTGTCCGAGGGTGAAACCACGGCCAGGGGACTGGTTAGTATGAGGGGACCCGGCCTGACACTGACAGTGGCCTGCTCCAGGCCACCTGTCTGCACCGGGGACACCCGCCAAGGGATCAGCCCCACACCCGCTCCCTCCCACCTCCACCCCCGGGCCGAGCTCGCAAAGCAGAGACGCCTGAAGAAGCTTCCGGCGAAGTTAGGGCTGAAGCAGGAGACCCTCAGCTACACGCAGGGCTGAGGCCTCAAATGGGAGGAACAGGACAGAGAACGGAGTGAAGAGGCCAGGGACACAGCTGGGGGGACACAGCTGGGGGGACACAGCTGGGGGGACACACCTGGGGGACACACCTGGGGGGACACACCTGGGGGACACAGCTGGGGGGACACAGCTGGGGGGACACACCTGGGGGGACACAGCTGGGGGGACACAGCTGGGGGGACACAGCTGGGGGGACACACCTGGGGGACACAGCTGGGGGGACACACCTGGGGGGACACAGCTGGGGGGACACAGCTGGGGGGACACACCTGGGGGGACACAGCTGGGGGGACACAGCTGGGGGGACACAGCTGGGGGGACAATCCTAGGGGACCTCCCTGGGGGACACACCTGGGGGGGACACTCCTGGGCCACACACATGGGGGGACACACCTGGCATCTGGGGATGCCAGGACCAACAGAAATGTCACCTTCACACGGACATGGTCTTGTCTGTCTAGTACACAGCAGCTGCTCAGTAACTGTGCGGGGAAGAAAAGGCAGGGACGGAGGCCGGTTATGGTTTCGGGAGCGGAGGAAGGGAGAGCTTAAGAATCAAGAATTCAGGAGCCAGTAGAGGTGGGGAAGGCCGCCCACCCCATGTTCCTCCTGGCAGAAGAGGGTGTCTGGGAGGCAGGGAGGTTCTGCAGGTGGGTGTGGGCAGAGGCAGGGGAGGCCAAGGGAGACCTTGCTGAGCAGCCACAGTCCCATCCTTGAGCCCTTCCTGCCTCCCATCAGGGTCCAGGGGGTAGTGGTTGGGTTTTCCTGCAGTGAATTCTCCAGTGAAACCATCAGGGCCTGGAGGGGTTTTGTTGGAAGATTTATTTTTTTTTTTAAGATTTTACTTATTTATTTGACAGAGAGATCACAAGCAGGCAGAGAGGCAGCAGAGAGAAAGGGGGAAGCAGGCTCCCCGCTGAGCAGAGAGCCCCACGTAGGGCTTGATCCCAGGACCCTGAGGTCATGACCTGAGCCAAAGGCAGAGCTTAACCCACTGAGCCACCCAGACGCCCCTGTTGGAAGAATTTAAATTACAAATTCAATTTCCTGCAGTTATAGGTCTGGTCAGAGTATGTATTTCAAATTGGACAAGGTGTGTTTTTCGAGGCGGCCGATTTCATAGAAGCTGTTGAGCTTATGTATATAGAACCGTGTGTGGCACTTCCTTGTGTAGGAAGGGTCTGTAGTGATGCTTCGTTTCTGATGGGATCACCTGTTTTACCTCTTGCCATAGATTCGTCAGTTTTATGGACTTTTCGAAGAACCAGCTCGTTCACCGACTTTCCCTTTTCTTTTGTTCTTATTTCATTGATTTCTGTTGTAATTTCTTGTTTCTTCCTTCTACTTGCTACCCCGCTCTTTTCCTAAGTTTTCCAAGTGGGAACTTAGATCACGAACTTGAGACTCTCTTAGAGCACTTAGAGCAGACACTGTCCTGTTGCTGTGCCGCGGCTGCAGCCCATTATTCTGATGGCACCCATTTGTCACCAGTCCTACGCATTTCTTTTTAATTTCCCTCAAGACTTCCTTTTGAATCATGAATTACTTTGAGGGTAGTGTTCATTTCTCACATGTTTGGAGATCTTCCTGTTGTTTTTGTTATTGATTTCGAGTTTGACTGTATCGTGGTTGGAGAACACACGGCCTGATCTCGATGCTCAGATTTGTTGGGCTTTATTCTCCGGCCCAGGACACAGTCTACCCTGGTGTATGGTCCAAGGTCACATACAAAGAAACTGTATTCTGCTATGGGGTGTGTTTGAGAAACGTCAACGGCATCCTGTTGGTCGACAATACTGTTGAGTTCTTCTCTGGCCACGCTGGCTCTCTGTGGAGCTGCTCCGCAGCTGCTGGGAGAGACGCTGAAGCCCGTGACTGAAGTCGCGGATCCACTTCTACACGCAGATCTGTGCGTCTGCCGCCCCATCTTGCCGCCCTGTCGTTCACTGCACACGCATTTAGGGTTGCGGTGTCTTCTTGGTATACTGACCCTTCATCATTACACATTAACACATAACACCTGTGTTAACCTGTGTGGTTATGTTAATGTGGAGACTTCGCAGCAGAGAAAATCACGGGAGTCGAACATTGTATAATGATGACTGCCGGCGTGACACGTCTTCACCGTTCTTCCCCGCTCAGCCTCTCTCTCTCCATCTGAGTCTCTTGTGGCGTCCAGTGAGCTCCTGTTTTCAAATCTCCTGTCAGGTTTCAGTGTATTTACAGCATTTATATTCAATGTTACTGTTGCTCAGGTCTGCCACTTTTATTTTTCACTTGTTTTCTCTTTCCATTTTTCCTTTGGGTTACTTGAACATTTCTTAGAATCCAATTTTGATTCATCTATGATATTTTAGAGTGTCTATTATTTTTCATTCTGTGTCATGGGTTCTTTCTCTGTCCCCTTCCTTATACAGTTAAATCCATTTGCTGATTTCTTGTTTTCACTCTTTTTTTGAATCTACAGCTTCCATTGGTACTTCACTGTATCTTCTATTTCTTTCCTTAAACTTTTTTTTAAAGCATGTTTAGTTTTTTTCAAGCATGTTTATATTTTTCAAGCATGTTTATCATTGCTCACTCTAGCACTTTCATCATAACTGCCTTAAAATCTCTGATCCCAACACCCCGTCCCCGTGGTAGCAGCATATGCTGACTGTCGTAGCTCACTCTGCAATCTTGCTGGACCTTGGTCTGCTGCACGACCACCAGCTGGACCCTGGACACTCTGCTACTCTATAATCCTTCATTTTAGTGGGCCTTTGCGGACCCTATCCGGCAGCAGAAGGGGGGCCCCCTTGTTACAGCCACGTGGGGGAGATCTGGGCACCCCACACTTCCTGCAGCCTGTTCTCACCCCACGGCCTATCCAGGCCATGCTCTCAGCACGCGTGGTGCAGACGGCTGCCCTCGCCCCTCTCCTCCCCGCCGGCACGCACCCTGAGGTCGTTGTGCTAACCTGCGTGCAGCTGAGCGTTCCACGGAATGGGGAAGGTTTCACTCAGTGACTTCTAGAAAGAATTCCTGCCTCACTCACTTCAAAGCGGCATTTATTCTGGGGGCAACACAGACGGCACAGTGCCTTCGGGCCCCGGCAATCGGGGTCCAGGGCCCAGACTGTAGCCCAATGCCCCCGAGTCTCACTAACCTAAAATACCGAAGTTGTGAAGGAGAACAGTGCCATGGAAAATACACAGAATTGGTTCGTCAAAAAGTTATGAGTCTGAGCTAAAATGGCCCTATTCCCTCTGAATCTTCGGTTACTTGTTTTGCTAAAAAACTCTAAATCATCCTAAAGAAAATAAGGCAGGACAACTGCAAGAGCATTTTCCATTCTTCTTCTTCTTCCCAAAGAAACCTCAAATTTGGCTACACTTTTACTCCTTCAGAGGGAAAACCCAGATGGGACAACCCGTGAAATTCTAGGTCTCTGTGTACAAAACCCACTATTTTCATCAGGCTGTGACTTCGCTGTTTGGGAGAAGACTTCTGTGGCATGTCACCATCACCTAACTTCAGAGAGGAGGCCCCAGGGAGCAGGTGTCACAGGCCTACTGCACAGACTGCCAAGGCCTCCTGGTTCTGGCCACGCGTCAGGCTGGTCGGGAGGGCTTGCCGCTGCCCGGGTACTCAGGCCCCCTGGCGAGTCAGCCCTCAGAAGCCTGGTGGTGGCACAGGTGACCCAGCAGGCACGGGTGTGCTGCCAGGCCAAGTGCCCCCCACCCGGACACTGCCGTGGTCCTAAAGCCAGCAGCACAGTTGGTCAGAAGCCCCTGGGCCCAGTGGTGAGCAGGGGCTGGCGTGCTTTCCCTACCAGAAAGTCTATGAGGAACTGACACAAAGTAGTCCTGAAGGGCCCCAGCCTGACCCCAACAGCAGATCCCGGACAGCAGCCTCCTCACCTCCACAAAACATCAGGAGTGATGGCAGGTGAAGACGGGGACCCTCGGAACCCTCATGTCTAGAACAGAGCTCCTGGCCCCTTTCACACGGGGCATCTTCAGGGTCAGACGTGCTCCCCAGCAAGTGATAACCCGCAGGAGCGATGGTGGTGGGAGCCCCCTGGTCGCCGCCCCCCATCGGCTCAGACCAGGACCATCTCGGGCACAGAGCCGGGGTTGGACCCGCCCTGTACTCCTCACATCTCTCCCCGGAGGAAGGGAAAGGAGCAGAGAACTGCTTCTCCTGCAGGGAAGCCCTTGACCTTGGTCGGTATCAGGACAGACAA